TTACCGGGTCTGCCTGTGCAGCCGTGGTCCTGGTCTCCTTTGGCGTGTTTTTTGGTGGTCTGGGTTCCAGTCCAAACAGTTTGGCCGTGGCTGGGGCTCTTAACCCGACCGGGTGCAGCCTTGGGGTTGGTATCGGTTCGACCGGGGTGAGGTCGTGCAGCCTTGACAGCCTCGTGGGCGTTTCCATGGAATGCCTAAGCCTATAGGTGATGGGGTGGTTTACTGGGAGAGTGTGTAGCCTGGCAGACGCCCTAGCGAGCTCCCTGCCCCATACCTCTTGTGGGGAAAACCCCGTGTTCCAGTACCGGATGGCCACCGGGGACGTTCGCCATGCTGGGGTAAGTGCTTTAAGTGCTGGTTTGGTCAGGTGTGGCCAAAGGCCGCACCTTTATCCTGTCAGTCCTTCCTTATCTAATCTCCAGCCAATCGGCTATCAACTCTATCAACTACACTGGCGACGCCGTGCCATAACAGTAATCTATCCCTCAGATGCCATATCCTTTTTGCCCAAGCTCGTTCCAGGTGTTTGGGCTTGCTCTGGCGCGACGGGGAGCAGATCGGTAGGCTCCAACCTCTTTGCTGCCGTTCTCTCCAGCGTCGTCCTGGCCCCGACTGGAGGTCTGTAACAGCGAGGCGTGATGTTTTTATCGCGGGTTCCGCCGCCGTCTCAGATCTTTCGTCAAAAGCCTCGGCCTTCCGACTTTTAGGGTGCTGGTGGTGTGTTGTTGCTTGTTTGTTGCTGGACTAGGAGCGTCAAGAGCCCGCCCATTACCGCTGGGGTGAAAAGGGTTTGGTGTGCCGAGAACCCCTCTTCCCGCCTGTCGTTCACGGCGTATCTCCGTCAGGGCTCTGGGTCAGGTGAGCTGGCCTGCTAAGCCCCCGCACCGATGCCAGCGACCCGCACCAGGCTCAAGTTGACAAGGAACCCGAGCTCGGTCGATCCGTCGGACCGCACTCCGAATTCTTCGGCGTCGTGAAGAACCCTGTCGATGTAATCCCCCGCCCCCGAAAGGTGCAGGATGTGCCCGATCGCGCGATGAATAGCGAGTAGACGAGGTAAAGGCGGGTCGATGGTCTTATCTTCGGTGGTGTGGAGAGTCCGAATGACGGGCAAGCCTAAAGCTGGCTTAAGATATCGATTGAACGCATCAATGCGATAAGTATGCGGGGGCTGCCCGTCGGGAAAATGATCGAAAAAGATTTTGAAAGAGCCGAATGCAAGGTGGTGATCATGAGATAAACTGATTGCGTTGTAGGGCCGGTCGATGTCGGCGCCTTCGATCAGGTGCACAACTCCCACATCAAACATGTTCAGAATATCCAGGGCCGCTTTTCTAGCAGGACTTAAGACGGAGTCTGGAGAACTTTTGGCTAGTGAATGCGGGAGGATGTGAGCCACTTCCAAAGGCCGGAGCTCATGCGGGTCGATCGGAGAGTCATCATCGTCCAGAGCATTGCCGTCTTTTGCCGCTGAAAATCGACGTAGGGCCTCCGCAGTGTCGAAATTTCGTGAAATTACGCAGCGGTGGTGATTGCGGGTGAGACAAACACCACGGAGAGACGAGAGACGATCTGGCGTACCGGCGAAGGATTGTGGTAAAGAGGAGCCTTGGGCCCTCTGGACGGCGGAGTGGGTTATGGGGGACGGCTGGGGCGTCTTGTTCGAAGCGGCCATGAGCGGCAAGAAGAAGCTGTTCATCAGGTACTCTGCGAAAGCGTCCACCGAAGTGCCGAGGGCCGCCTTCACTTCCGGGTTCCCAAAGTCGACGTCGGGATCCGTGGCATTGCCGGCGAGTGAAAGGGCCAGAGACTCGAAAAAGCTTGACAGAAAGAGGCTTTTGGAATGGTCGGAAATTGTGTATTCGTAGGTGAGGCGGACAAGCGCGGGGCGGTTGTAGCCCTGCTGCGGCCGCTGGTTTGCGGCGGCTGCGGCGGCGGCGGTGGCGGCGGCGGCGGCGGTGGCGGCGGCGGGGGCG